CGATTATTTTAATCGCGGCTTCATTCCCCCCTGCCGATCTGGCTAATCTACATGCCTCCGTCGACGGAGGCATGTAGTCTAGACACACCCCTACTGCTGTACAGCAAGCAAGGCTCATAAGAACAGAAGAACGGCCCATGTTAATAAGGCTAATTAAGTGGGCTAGCTGTGTCCCATTCATAGCTTTTCAAGTGGAAATAGATGTTAAAAGCAGGAGAAATTGGCTTTATAATGCGCCAACCAGTTACGGTGTGTCTAGACAGCGGTGCTATTTCAGGATACTTCCGGTATCCCGAAATAGCTGTTCTGCGTCTTTTACACAAGCCCGTTATTTTGAAATAGTTTTTGAAATAACTGGCTCGCTATTCTGACATCCCTGCAAACCTCGTTCCACCAGGATTAAGGGACGTTTTGGAATAGCGCTCTATTTTGAAATACACTTGAAATAAGCTACACAATTTGCATAGCTCATATTGCGTAGCTTATTTCGAGCTACAGGTGCAATGTAGACACACCCTGAATGTCTTTGTTCAAGCCCAGGGAACAGTGTCAAACTTGTGGATGTATTCCAGTTCTGCAGACTCTCTGGCTATGTCTAGATTGTATCCCTTTTTCGTAAAAGGGATGCAAAATTAGACGTATCGCAATCGCAAAATAAAGCCTTTTCCAAAAGATCTGCGTCTAGACTGGAGCTTTTTTCTGGCAAAGCTCCGTGCCGAAAAAAGCGGCAGCCATTTTTATGCTAATGAAGCGGGGGAGATTTAAATCCCCACTTCATTAGCAATTGTGATACGTCTAATTTGCATCCCTTTTACGAAAAAGGGATACAATCTAGACATAGCCTCTATGTAATTGGTTAGTGAAATTCCTTTGTAGAAGAACGGCTACTTTTAAATCCTCAACTGAGTGATCGGGCAGGTTAAAACATTCCCCTACAGGTTGTGTTACCATTTCTGATGTCTGATTTGTGTCCATTTATCCTTTGTCACAGAGACTGTCCAGTTTGGCCAATATCCATGGCAGAGGGGCATTGCAGGCACTTGGTGGCTGAGATCACATTAGTGGATGGGCTGTTGTCTGAGCCCCTGATGTCATGGCTTACGTGGTTAGCTCCTGTGATGGTGTCACTTGATATGAGGACAGAGTTGGCAACAGGGTTTGTTGCAGGGGTAGGTTCCTGGGGGACTGTATCTGAGGGGTGACATGTGGCTGCCGGAAAGGATTTGTTTCAGGTTGAGGGGTTGACTGTAGATGAGGATCAGCCTGTCTCCCAAGGCCTGTGAGGGGTAACAGGCATTTTCAGAGTTAAAACCCTTAGACTTCAATTGTTGTCAATCCCTTTGCTTCAGAGTCTAGCAAAGGGTGCTTAAGAAAGCAAGGAATTAACCCTAATATGTGATTCAGGGGTCATGGAAGAAAAGGCGCCCGTCTGAACCACACAAGAAATGTGTCCAGCCACGGCTGAACTGTATGTATACCTCCATCACCTGTGAATGCCAGTGTTTAGGGCTAATTAGAGCCAGTTAATTACAGGTTCTATTAGAATCCATTCAAAGCCTTTCTGTAGATATGTCTGAAGAACCGTTAAGAAGCGTGTGTACAATAGGTTTGGTTAACTGAATTGTTTGGCTATTTTAAGGTAAAAACCGTTGAGATATACACTCCTGAATCTCCCTGGAATATTATAGCCAGCAAAGGGGGTGGGGCAAAGCTGTCTAATTGCTGCCCGTTGTGCTGATGTTTTCGTGGTGTCAAAGCTTTGTGCGCTCAGAGCTGAACTGACCTCTCTGTTAGGAAAGGTTGCTGATTTCCTGCCTGAACTCTCCTTGACTGAGGCCACGTCTCCACTTACTGTGGATCAATGCACCAGCGATCAATCTTCCAGGGTTTGATTGAGCAGGTCTAGTAAAGACCCACGTAATCAAATGCTGAGGGCAGTCCCCCCCCATCAACCATGGTACTCCTCACAGTCATGGGCTGTGTCTACACTGGGCCACTTATTCCGGAAAATCAGCCGCTTTTCCGGAATAAGCTGCGAGCTGTCTACACTGGCCCTTGAATTTCCGGAAAAGCAACGATGCTCTACTGAACAAAACCAGCCGCTATTCTGGAAAAACTATTCTGCTCCCGCTCGGGCATAAGTCCTTATTCCGGAACACTGTTCCGGAAAAGGGCCAGTGTAGACAGCCCAGTAGTCTTTTCCGGAAAAAAGCCCCGATCGCGAAAATGGAGATCGGGGCTCTTTTCCAGAAAAGCGCGTCTACATTGGCCACAGACGCTTTTCCGGAAAAGGGAAACGGAATAGTATTCCGTTTTAAGCATTTCCGGAAATTCATGCCAGTGTAGACACAGCCACGAGGAATAAGGGAAGTCGACAGGCGCATTTCTCCCATTGACCTCCCACTGTGGGGCAGCCCCAGAAAATCGATGCTAGGTATGTTGACTCCAGCTACGCAATGCACATAGCTGGAGTTATGTATCTTGCATCAATTTTCAACGCCAGTGTAGACCTGGCCTCAATTTCTTCCCATTTCTTCTGCTCTAACCCCACCTGGCAAACCTCACCAACTTCCCCACCTCCTTTGGGGGTTACACCATTCTGAGATTATATCATCTCCACATTGACCAGGCAAAGGGAGAGGAATCCTCCCTTTGTTATCACTGGAGCAGAAGTCAATTCTCCCCTTCGGCCCCATAGGCTGACTATCTGTATCACAATAACAGACTATTGAGTCCTGTCTAGGAGAGCTGGGCCGTAGCCTGGTCTCCTCAGCCTAGTTGAGGCCTGCTAAGAGGGTGGAAACCAACAGAAAAACCCACCATCCCTTGGCTGACGTAGCTACACAAGCAAATCTCGCAGGGCGGAGGAAGCTATGCTGTCAGAAGAGTCCTTTCAGGCAGGTTGTGTGGATGTGCTGGGAGGTACATTCCTTCTGCTAGGGTATGCCGTGTCTACACTAGGGGCTCTCCAGGCAGATAGAAATACTGCATTGCTGGCCCACCTAAGACTTGGTAGCATGGACTGGGCCTGAGACCACCATGCTCCTTGCCACAACAGTTACCAACCAGACAGCAGACAGTAGCAACTGTGGAGCCTGCACCTGCTTTTGATGTGACCCAGCCACGTTGCAAGAGGGTCCGTCTCCCAGACCCCAGGGTCACCCATGTTAGTCCTCCACATGGACTATGCACATCTGGGAAGGGACTATCTGAAACCATCGATTTTTAGCTACTTTCGTGTCTCCAGGTCCCTTAGAATCATAGAATCCCAGGGCGGGCAGAGACCTCAGGAGTCACCGAGTCCAGCCCCCTGCTCAAAGCAGGACCAACCCAACTCAATCATCCCAGCCAGGGCTTTGTCCAGCCGGGACTTAAACACCTCTAGGGATGGAGATTCCACCCCTGCCCTAGGGAACCCAGCCCAGGGCTTCCCTCCCTGCCTAGGGAAATAATTTTTCCTAATATCCAACCTAGACCTCCCCCACTGCAACTTGAGACCATTGCTCATTGTTCTGCCATCTGCCACCACTGAGAACGAAGGAAGTTAATTATCGAACAATTCACTAATTGAATAGTCGAAGCCTTTTGCCACTGACTATTTGATTAATCGATAGGGCGGCGTTGTCCCTTTGAAACGCCACCATGGTGTTTCAAAGGGGCAGTGACGCATGGAGCTTGGGGTCAGCTGGGGACTGACCCCAGGCTTTGTGCCGCGTTTCAATGGGGCAGTGCCACACAGATCCTGGGATCAGCTGTGCGGTGCTGCCCCTTTGAAATGCCCCTCTCTTCCCCCCCTGCCCCGCGGCCTCTATCTAATAGAAGCAGCAAAAGGGGAGAGGGGAAGCGACTAGTCGATTATCCTCTTGACTAGTCCTTATTATCCCTACTGAGAACAGCCTCTCTCCATCCTCTTTGGACCCTCCCTTCAGGTCATTAAAGGCTGCTCTCAAATCCCCCCTCACTCTTCTCTTCTGCAGACTAACCAAGCCCAAACCCCCCTGCCTCTCCTCGTAGGTCATGTGCTCCAGCCCCCGAATCATTTTCGTTGCCCTCCGCTGGACTTTCTTCTATGCATCCGCATGCTTTCTGTAGAGGGCGGAGGGGCAGAATTGGATGCAGTACTCCAGATGTGGCCTCACCAATGCCGAATAAAGGGGAATAATCCCTTCTCGAAGACCCTGAGTCAAGTCAACCTTTCCAGCCGAGAGAGCGAAAACAGCGTCGCGCGCTGTGCTGGGGTGACAGATGGGGGATTTTGCTTAAGAGCAACGCAAGGTGCTGTGCCCCTCCGTGCACCTGAGCGGGCGGCTTCCGCAGCCCTGCCCCCAGCTGCTACCCCCGGGAACCCAGCACTCCAGCTGCCCTGTTCAATCTGCTTTGCACTAGGCAGCAGGAGAGCCTGCTCGTTCCTGGGCTGCTCTCGCTGGCGTTTCATGCCCTGGACACATGCAGAGAAACATGAGCAGCCCCAGGGGGTGCGGAAGGGATCGATGGTCATTACCATCGCAAATCAGCCTCCCTGCGGCTTGCTTTCTGCTGACGTCAGCCGCGAAGGCGAGCGGGCGCCTGTTTGCTGTACCTGGCAGGCCTCCTTCCCTCCGTCCGCGTAGCCGGCGCACAGCATGTTCTCTGTGAGCTGGGGGACCCACGCAGAGCACTGCTTCTTGCCGATCAGCTTCATCTCCATTTTCTTTAGCAGGTTGGTTAATTTCATCTTGTCCCCTAGCCAGAGAAAGAGAAGAGCGCGGCTTAGGCACGTTCTAAAACAATGAGATTAATACCTCCAGGCTTAGGCTAGACCGTGGGTCTCAAACCACAGCCCCATGGAGGGGGAGAATTGGCAATCACTGGAGGTGGTAAGTCCCTGGAGGTGGTGCATCAAGATGAACAGCCCCTTCTATGCCCATTAATAGGCTGCAGCATATAGAATCCCAGGGTGGGCAGAGACCTCAGGAGTCACTGAGTCCAGCCTCCTGCCCAAGGCAGGACCACCCCAACTCAATCACACCAGCCAGGGCTTTGTCAAACCAGGACTCAAACACCTCTAGGGATGGAGATTCCACCCCCTCCCTAGGGAACCCATCCCAGGGCTTCGCCACCCTCCTAGGGAAATGGTTTGTCCTACTATGCAACCTAGACCTCCCCCTCTGCAACTTGAGACCATTGCTCCTCGTTCTGCCACCTGCCACCACTGAGACCAGCCTCTCTCCAGCCTCTTTGGAACCTCCCTGCAGGTAGCTGAAGGCTGCTATCAAATCTCCCCCTCACTCTTCTCTTCTGTAAAGAAGCCCAAATCCCTCAGCTTCTCCTCGTAAGTCATGTGCTCCAGCCCCCTCATCATTTGTGTTGCCCTCCGCTGGACTCTCTCCAATGCGTCCACATCCTTTGTGTAACGGGGGGCCCAGAACTGGGCACGATGCACCAAATGTGGCCTCACCGGAGCTGAATAAAGGGGAATGAATAATCACTTCCCTAGATCTGCTGGCAATGCTCCTCCTAATACACCCCAATCTGCCATTGGCCTTCTTGGCCACAAGGGCACAGTGTTGACTCATATCCAGCTTCTCAACCACTTGTAATCCCCGGGTCTGTTTCTGCAGAACTGCTTCTTAGCCAGTCAGTTCACAGCCGGTAGCAGTGTGTGGGGTTCTTCTGTCCCAACGCAGGACTCTGGTCCTCGTTGAACCTCATCAGATATGTGAGGGTTATCCATCTAGCCTGGCTCTGAGGATAAAGCCAGGGCTAGAAGTGCCAATTAAATATATAAAAGCAACATCGGGAGCAGAATGGCACACAGGAGGGCAATGAACAGCTAGCAAATATCCATCTCCTTAGAACAAGAGTGAATTTGGTCCAGTAGGCTACGCAGCTGCAGAATTACTGACTAGCCTGAGAACCACAAGCCTTTTTGACCTCTTGTGGAGAGACAGGCACGGTCACTATCCAAGAAACTCACTGCTGAGCATGACAGTCCTGGACAGTGAAGTCCTCGCTGTGTGTGTTTCATGTGCGGGGGTGCACTCCAGACCAGTCAGGGGTTGTGTCACCACCGGCCCTGTGACCTTCATAATTCTTTGCTGCTGTAGCTTCCAGCCTGGGTTGCTCCCTGCCAGTCTATCAGTACACAGGTCGCACTCTGACTCCGGCAACCTCTCTGTTGCTCCACCCTGGTTTCCACCATCGTGAGTGAAAGCAAGCAAGGTGAGAAGTCACAGAAGGGTCGCCGGGTCAGATTGTATCTGCAAAAACAATGAGGAGAGGCATCTTAGAGATGAATAGATTTATTTGGGCATAAGCTTTTGGGTGTCTTTAAGGTGCCACAGGACTCCTCCTTTTTCCAGATCAAGACTAACACAGCTACTCCTCTGAGACAGAATTTAGCTGTATGAAGAGGAAATCCACCTACTTCATGAAAAAATTCACCCAGATACAGACAGACATCGACTTCCTCTTCACGTGCAAACAGACGGACATCATACCCAATGGACTGAAGGTGAAAAATCCATTGCAATCGAAATACTACACAGACTATGGTGAGAGATTGTGCCACACACTCTCAAAGGCTACATCTACACTACAGAGGAAGATCAAAGTTGCCGCTGTCGATCTTCCAAGGTTCAAAATAGCCGATCTAGTGAAGACAGCTAATTCAGACAGAGAGGGGTGCTCCGGTCAATGCTGGCCGTCCTGCTTCTGGACAGAGGGGGGGTGCTCCGGTCAATGCTGGCCGTCCTGCTTCCATGAGGAGTAAGAGACGTTGAAGGGAGAGTGTTCTCCCTTCGACGCACTGTGGTGTGGACAGCGCCAAAAGCCGAGTTAAGCTACTTCAACTTCAGCTGATGTTGCGTATCGTACTTTGACTTTGTCCCGTAGCGTAGACATACCCAAAGAAACTGAGGAACCTCCTGATCAGTGTCATATATAGAAAACATGAGAAGATCAAGTATGAGCTCTCGAAACTGAAGATGCTCATAAAAAATCCAACCTCCCACATGAAGTTCCACATGGCTGGACTTTACAAAAACTAACCAAGGCATTTACCATGCTCACTTTGCTTCTCGGCAGAGGAGAAACCGCAGGAACCTATCTAAATTCCTACATGCCGGAGGGGATCACAGCAGCAGTACCCTTAACTCACCCAACAATCCTTTTCATCTATCCAACCACACACGTAGCCTGGCAAAAGTCAGTCCTATCTTGGGGATTTTCTTTTTGCCCCACTATCCCCACACGATACATTTCTGAGGTGACTTGGAAGCCTGCTTTCACCATCTCCAACTCAAGGACATATTCCAACACGCCACTGGAACCCTCTTACCAACATGACAAGAAGAAGAATTCTGCATGGACTCATCCTGATGATGGAAGCGACAGACTAGACTTCTACATAGAGGCGACGTCTACACTGGCATGATTTTCCGAAAATGCTTTTAACGGAAAACTTTTCCGTTAAAAGCATTTTCGGAAAAGCACGTCTAGATTGGCAGGATGCTTTTCCGCAAAAGCACTTTTTGCGGAAAAGTGTCCGTGGCCAATCTAGACGCGGTTTTCCGCAAAAAAGCCCCGGTCGCCATTTTCGCAATCGGGGCTTTTTTGCGGAAAACACTACTGTGCTGTCTACACTGGCCCTTTTGACAAAAGTCTTTCGGAAAAAGACTTTTGCCCGAACGGGAGCAGCATAGTATTTCTGGAAAAGCACTGATGATTTTACATGAGATCATCAGTGCTTTTCCAGAAATTCAAGCAGCCCGTGTAGACAGCTGGCAAGTTTTTCCGCAAAATCAGATGATTTTGTGGAAAAACTTGCCAGTCTAGACACAGCCAGAGTGTTGCCAGTCATGCACAGGCTGAAATTGTGAACAAACCACATCACATGCCCCATCACTTCAGCCGTGCAGACCGCAATGCCACCCACAGCCTCAGAAACAACTCTGAGATTATAATCAAAGAGAGCGACAAAGAAGGTGCCATAGCTATCATGAATCGGTCAGGTTACGAATGGGAGGCTGCTAGGTAACACTCCAATCCCACATTCTACAGGCCACTAGCCTCTGAGACCACTGAGGAATACCAAAAGAAACAACACCATCAGCTCAAGAAACAACCTGCAAAAGCATGGGAACAAATCTACACAGACACACTGGAATAAATTGCCTAGGGAGGTTGTGGAATCTCCATCCCTGGAGATATTTAAGAGCAGGTTGGACAGACACATGTCAGGGATGATCTAGACCAGGGGTTCCCGACCTTTTTCGGACCCCGTACCCTCTTGGCTTTTAGTAAACCTTCCCGTACCCCCTATTCAATATGTAAGGAAATGAATTCTAGACTCCAGAATCCACAACTTTTTTCACTAACACGACTACTTTTGGAATATTTCAATTAGGATAATCTAGTTATTTACCAAATATTCCCCATGCCCCCTTGAAAAGCTTCTCATACCCCCTGGGGGTACGCATACCTCAGGTTGGGAACTCCTGATCTAGACAATATTTGGTCCTGCCATGAGGGCAAGGGACTGGACTTGATGATCTCTTGAGGCCCCTTCCAGTTCTAGTGTTTTATGATTCCACCCCTACCAGGGGTATTCTATCGGCTATCCAAGATCCATAAACCTGGAAATCCTGGATGCCGCATCATCTCGGGCATTGGCACTCTTTTAGCAGGATTGTGTAGACTCTCACTGCAGATCCTATGCTACCAGCACTCCTCGCGATCTTCGAGACAACATGCAAGGTGATCCCAACACTCTCCCAGTCCTGAATTTGCTCAAAAGCAAGTGTTTTGGAATGTCCATCCCTCTCCTGGACAGGCCAGGGAAATAATACGGCGCATTTGTTCCTTTAAGGACATAAAAGCGCATCACAGAGTATTAATTGGGGCAAATACACCCTTTCCCGTAAACACCGCTCTGGGCTGGTTTACAATAGGAGATATCTATTGATAATGCATTAAGTGAAGCTAAATAAAAGGAAAAAAGTTAGAAAGGGTTACAAGCAAATACCCATGGAGACAAGCTTCCAGAAGGCCAAGACTTCATCTAGCATGAGACAGGTGTTGGCCAAGATGGTGTCTTCCACCAATCTTCCTTCTTCCCTGTCATGGCTGACTTTCCCTCAGTCAGGACCTTCCACAAGAGTACACGGTGCTGGGTTCCCTTGTCTTCTGGGGTGGAAGATCTTTGCCTCACCAGGCTTCTCACCTGGGTTCAGTTCCAGAGACTTCAGCCCTTCCCCACTTGTTTGAAGGACACATCTTCCTCAGCTTGCAAGGGCTTGGGTCCCTCATGTCTGCCAAGTGACGGAGGCCTAAGATGGCCTCTGGTCCTCCATACCCTGCCCCCTAAAGTTCAGTGACCAAGCTTTAGGGGGCACAGAGAAACAGGTAACTAGTTGCCCCCTGCTGTCTGGAAGGGAACTGTTCCTTCCTGTGTTCAGCCACGCGCTTTCAAACATAGTTTTGGTCGGGATTTGTCATTCTGCACGTAGCATGAAGAGGTACATTTCACTGTGGTATTCCTCACCGGTGTGTCATTAGTTTGCTGAAAAGAACTCACTCTAGACACTGTATAGCTCAGGTAAAGGCTTTGTCTACGTTTAAACATTTAAAGCAACAACCACAACAGCGGTTTCCACGGAAGGTGTGGCCACGGCAGAGCACTCCATGTAAACCACCTCTCTCAGGGGAGTAGCTCGTTCATACTGGTACTTTACAGGGCTGTAATTTGCTGCATAAGGGGAAGGGGTGAGTGTTTTTCACACCCCTGAGCCAGAAAGTGACAGCGCTGTAAAATGCCCATGTAGACTTAGCCAAAGTGTCTCCCCTCTATAGCTTGATTATCCTCTTTAATGTCTGTAGGTAAACTGAGGTAAATACACGTTCCTCTGGGGGATGGACCCATTTAACAATGCCTCTGACACACCTTGTTTGCATACCCTTTCGTTACAGTTCCAGCCTCTGTTCATAACTCTCAATACCCACTGCGCTCAGACAGCACTCGGGAGTACAGGTTGAACCTCTCTAGTCCAGCACCCTTGGGACCTGACTGGTTCCGAACGAGAGAATTTTCCGGACCAAGGGGGAACAATACTGTCTAGCAGCATTGCCAAGACTTCCACTGCTGATTGGGCTGTTAGAGGACACTTAAGGATAAATCACTGCTGACTGGGCTGTTAGAGGACACTTAAGGATAAATTAGAGCTGAATAACAGCACAGAACACTGAGAGCAAGGACTGAGAGCTAGACACGAGGAATACCAGTGCCGACTGGGGCCAAGTGGGGCCACTCTCAGCATTCGATTTAGCGGGTCTTTACTAGACCTGCTAAATTGAATGCCAAAAGATCAATCTCCGGTACGGTAAGTATAGACGTGGCCTAAGAGACATCAGGTTGTGTTGCACTGGAGTTAAACAGGGATGAAGGAAAGAACAAAAATCCATCTTCTTTTATAAAGACATTGAAGGGGGGGTGCAAAAGGGAGCAGCAATCAGAGCGCCCTCCTCTTTAAATCACTGCCGGAGCCCCATGCCATGCACTCTCAGGGCTAGGTGGAGGAGGCTAGCCCACAGCCCCACCCCTCCGCCTGAGGTTCTACCCTTTCTGGGGGGCAGAGCCAAGCCTCCCTCCACCTTGCCCAGGGCCCGGCAAAGTCTGTTGCCTGCAAGCATCTTTTCAACTTGCATTTGAAGGAGCAGCAGCCTCCTCTCTTCTTTGTGATGTTCTGCGCTGAATTGCACTTTACTGGTCCCTAACAGCCAGCTCAACGTCTGTAATCTATCGTTGGACTCCCCCGGGGGCTCGAGAATCACTACACAGGAAATTGAATGACAAGCACGTTCTCTGAAGAAGAGACTGCCCCGGTCTAGACAACAGCCCGGCTTGTCCTCCGGTGCCTTCGGGGCTTCTCCGAGACCTCGAAGGACTCCTCGACTTTTTCTCTTGCTAACACGGACTTGAAATCCGTGTTGGAAACAGGCAGTTTGCTCTCTTCAAAAGGAAACCCGCAAGTGTTCACCTGAGCCAAATTCCCACAGCCCCTTGGAAAGGCTTGAAATGTTCGCGGCCACGAGAGACGTGTGTTCCTTTCACCCCCGCTCCCCCTCAGAACCCACCAGCCGCAAAGGGATGGAAGGCCCTTTGGAGAAGTCGGTCAGAGGCACGAGCAGCGATGGGACTCACTCGGGGCAGAAGACACGTGCCCCTCCTAACTAGCCCTTCCCAAGGGCATGCTGGGAAATCTCATGAGTACCTGCTTCACGTTAGAGCTGGCCCCCAACTGGCCCCTTTCCCCCCGCAGCTTGCCCAACACATGAATCCGGTGGCGTGGCAGCTTGAATTTGACCTGGAAGGTGGCTTATGCCTCTGCAGAGGATTCTGTATGATGCTCGCTAAATCAGACCTGGTCTGGGGGGAGAATTTTGCTGGGGGAGGAGGGCAGGGAGTCGCCACTAGACTGAGGCTGTTAGATTCAAAGTGGTTCCCAGTGCTCCTTGGCTCTGAACATGCTCACCTCCAGCCCCAGAGCTGGGGGCCTGAGGCGGAGTGAGGGAGGTGGACCAGCCCCATGCACAGCCCCTGCTGCTGGATGCTTCAGATCCAGCTCCCCTAGTCTCTGAACAGAGAAGATGCACCTCACGTCCCATGAGTCTCTGGGCACCAAGGAATCTGCATCCCTTATGGGAGCGAACCTCACGCCCGTCACAGCGGCGGCAAGTGCCTGGCGTCTGCAGACGCTCAGATCTACAGCGTGGCTTCCACGACAGCCCCTGCCACCGGGGGAGGGGTGTGATGCTCGGCTTCTGTCCTCCGGGTTCTGGGCTGCTCTTGGCGCCAGGATAGCTCCTGGCTGCCCAGGGACTCTCTGTAGTTCCAGCATCCTCCCGCCAGGGGGATCTATAGGCGGCAACGTAACCGGGCAGATTCGAACCTGGGCCCTCCGGAGCTTAGTGTAGCCTGTGCAGCCTGAGCTATAAAGCCAGCTGGGGCTCAGCCCCGGCTGTAGCGCTGCCTTGTTCTTAGCTCCTGCTGTACGTGGTCTAAGGGCCACTCCGTGGGACAGTGACCCACACTAGGTGTGCGGGTTACACCAGCACCAAGAGCTCCTGCTCCCGGCTTTGCTCCCAGCCCCCTTCCCTCCCCGCAGGAAAACGAGAACTTGCCCCCATGACACGCCAGCCTGCGCGGGCCCCGCGGGCGGCGTGGGGAAGTGAAGCCGGCACGAAGGGGGAGTAGTTGGAAAGTCAGACCGGAATGGGATGGCAGCTGCAGGCCCCTACACAGACACACACGGGGGGGGATTTTAAACTAAGTGAATGCAGATTTCAATGGCAAATAGCACCCCCTACACACACAGACACACACACACACACACGCCTGTGCACATGCACACACAGGCTTGCATGTGCTCCCATGGGCACACACACATGCACATATGCGCAAACACTCATGCACACACGCACACACTCACACTCGTACACACACACTCACACACTTGTGAACACACACTCATGCGCATGGGCACATACACACACTCACATACACATACCACACACACTCACGTACACACACACACGTGTGCTCGTGCACACCTGCTCACGTGCTCACACATGCTCATACACATGCACGTGCACAAGCATGCACACACACACTCACACATGTACACACACACATGCACTTGAACACACATACTTGCACACACACTTGCACATACACTCTCGCACACACTCATGCACTCACTTGAACTAGACACATGCACTCGCACACACATTCTTGCACACACTCACACACACGTGCACATACACTCATGCAATCACTTGAACGGGCACGCACATGCACTTCCACACAGACACTTGCACACACTCATGTAGACACACACAGACATCACCAGTACCTGCAACTGAGGCTCCCCAGCCAGCGACCCAGCAGCCCTCCCAGGTGTGAAGGTCCCGTACGAGGGGCAAGCAGATGGGCATTTTCTGTTCACTGAACTCTATGGGCGAGTCGAGCAGGATCAAGGCGACGTCGTTGTCCATGTTGGCGCTATCGAAGCGCTCATGCAGAATCAGCCGGTCCAGCTTTTTCTTCTCCACCTGGTGGCTTTCCAAGTCGGCTGCCCCCAGCGCCACATACAGGTCTGGCGGGCTTAGGAACAGAAACGGAGACAGAGCGTGAGCAAGAACGGCAAAGGCCTTCGGCGAAGGTGGGGAAGGGGAGTGCTCACTTGGCACATGGCAGGGTGGGGCTAGACACAGAGGCCCTTGGAGCCCATCTTCATCACTAGCTCTGGCAGCGCTGGGCACCAGTTTTCACAAAAGGCTGGATTCTCCTTATTCCAGGAGGAGCCAGGCTAATTCCTTTGGGAGTGCTTGCGGACAAAGCGGGTAAGGAACCCGAGGTCGAACATGGACTTAGTTTTGCTCAAAACACGTCAGGCTCTGTCACTTGTTGTGTAGCAGCTGGCGCCCGTCACCGTGGTATCAGCGCGCCTCCCAGTCTGTAATGGATTTATCCTCACAGCACCCCTGGGAGGTCGGGATGGGCTGTCATCCACATGGCACAGATGGGCAAACAGGGCACCGAGAGACAAAGGGGCCGGGTTGTGCTCAGTAAAGCAGGACCAGGTATTTAATGACTCACTCGGGCTCCCAGGGAAGTTGCGGCAGAAAAGGGAACTAAACCTCTGTCTCCCAAAGACCCAGGCTAGCAACTAACCCCTGTACCATTCTCCTGATCTGCTATATGGCCTATTTGTGCCTCTGTTTCCCACCCTTTGTCAGGTCCATCTGGCGGGAAGTGATTCAAAGCAGGGACTGGCTCTTACGTTGTACAGCGCCTAGCACTCACCCTTTGTCAGGTCCATCTGGTGGAAAGTGATTCAAAGTAGGGACTGGCTCTTACGTTGTACAGCGCCTAGCACATGCCACACGTGTGTGCTGTTATTTGTACTCTGGGCACACGAAAGGAGCCATTGGTTGGGTTTTTGGTTGGGGCAAGAGCAGAGCCACGGTTGAGGTCTCACCAAAGTGCAAAGACACTGAGAAGGCACCGTAACCAAGTGTTTGCCCCGCACTGCAGGGCAGCCTGCAGGAAGACAGCAGAGCTAAGAATGAAGATGGGGCGGTGAAAGGTGATCGGGTGATGTTTACTGCTTCTGGTTAATTGGTGGGGGCTGGAGCAGCTCCTTGCTCGCTGTGTCTGCTCCAGCCCCACGGGGCCTGCCATGAACAGGGGCTGCTTTGGACGTCCAGAGCAGCCCATGTCCACAGCAGGCCTGGGTGCGTCGCAGGGAGGGGTTGCTCCGAACGTGGGGGGAAAGAGGGAGCGTTCCAGCCCATTTGGGCTGCAATATACCCTCTTAATTGGTTAACTAGTTAAACGTCACATGTAACCTGTTAACCAATTCAATGGTTTCATTAAATCCCTACTGAGACATTCTACATGCAGCTCCGCCACTGATTTCCCTTTGTGACCTCAGGCAAGTTCCTGAACATCACTTGCCTGACCTGGAAATGGAGAAGGATAGTTGGCTTGGACAGTGCTTTGGATGGAAGGGACTTTACAAGCACCAAGGGTATCGAGGAACGTTGTTACCCTGACAGGGGTGGTGATGGGCTCTGAGGTGGGCGGAGCGAACGTGCGCTAGCTGCTCCTATAAGCAAGAGGGGGACAAGGAAAAGAGGGGTGTGCACGGGGCCACATCAAGGCAAGACCACTTGGGTTTCCCCGAATCCCCCCCTGGGGATCTTTTCCTTCTCCCTGTTGGGGGAGCATCCGGGCACCCTGTTTTGTCCTCCTCCCAAGGGACCAGAGGCAGCGTGCTAAGGCAGACTCTGCATCCGTGACCTCCCAGGTGAGGCTGGGAAACGTCACCTCCTCCTAGACCCAGGGATGACTCGTCTTCCCCCTTCGCTTCCTGTGCATGGTGCGCCCCCGACCCCAAAACGGCGCCTGCTGCTGGCGCTCTCATGGCGACCTCCTGTGCTCTGGATGGAGGGGGAGGGGGAGGGGCAGGTCATGAGTTTGCCAGATGGCAGGGCAGGGGGGGATCTGGCCTCACAAGAGTGGTCCCCTGAGAGCATCCAAGGGGTACGGACGGGACACCCTGTAGCAAAAGCTTTGTGGTTAGTGAAGATGAGGTCAGTGTGGTCAGATTGTGCACTGGAGCTCTGAGCTTTGTCCTCCCTATGTCATGGAGCTGTGTGTGTGTGTGTGTGCATGTGTGCGTGCATATGTCATGGAGCTGTGTGTGTGTATCATGGAGCTATGTGTGTGTGTGTATATGTCATGGAGCTCTATGTGTGCATGTATGTCATGGAGCTGTGTCTGTGTGTGTATATGATGGAGCTGTGTGTGTGTGTGTATGATAGAGCTGAATGTGTGTGCGTCATGGAGCTCTGTGTGTGTGTGTGTGTGTGTGTGTGCATGTGTGTGTGATGGAGCTGTGTGTGCGTGTGTGTGTGTGTGATGGAGCTGTGTGTGCGTGTGTGTGTGTGTGATGGAGCTGTGTGTGCGTGTGTGTGTGTGTGATGGAGCTGTGTGTGCGTGTGTGTGTGTGTGATGGAGCTGTGTGTGTGTGTGTGTGTGATGGAGCTGTGCCTGTGTGTGTGCATGTGTGTGTGTTATGGAGCTCTGTGTGTGTGTGTGTGTGATGGACCTGTGTGTGTGTGTGTGATGGAGCTGTGTGTGCGTGTGTGTGTGTGTGCGCATGTGTGTGTGATAGAGCTGTGTGTGCGTGTGTGTGTGTGTGATGGAGCTGTGTGTGCGTGTGTATGTGTAGGATTCCCCCCCCCCATGAGCCCCAGTACTCACAGTTCTTTCGTGAAACAATGTGCCGCAGACAAAATCCACCAGTTGCTTATAATTGACCCTCCGCAAAAATGCTTCTCCTTGGTCTGGATGCTCACTTGCCAGGGGAACTCTCCCGACACGGCGTTCGCGCCCTTCGCGGTCTCAGACTCTTTCGGGGACGGTTGGTAAGCGGGCCTGAGGCCACATTCTAAACACAAACCATAGCAGACGGCAGGTGTGGGCGCCTGTCCGGACACAGGCCACTTTGAACCACTCTGCAAACCAGATCTGACCCCACACAGGGCCCCAGTCGACATTCACCCCATGCCTACACTGCTGTCTCTCTCTCTCGGCCTCAGTGGAGTTTTTCCTGACTTACGTTGCGTAAGACGAAAACGAAGCCCATGATGTATTTTCTGCAATAACACACCTACCTCCGAGGGACAGGTTCACTTTGGGTGTGTAGAGAGGGGCACAAGAAACAACCTTTGGATCGGTTTCAACCCCCCCAAAGTTACAAGTGGTAGGGATGAGGGTTTGGATCTTGGCGTTTGGTTCAGCCTTTACAAAGAGGCAGGATATTTGCAAATGTCAAACCCAAGTTTTCATTCTGAATGCCTGCAAAGTTTGCAGGTGGTTTGACCTGAAATTTTTGGAGTCTTAGACACCATGGGTACGTCTAAACTACATGCCTCCGTCGACGGAGGCATGTAGTCTAGACACACCCCATGTGAGCAGAATGAAGAGTACAACTTGGGATTCACAGACGAATAGATTTAAAGGCTAACGACGGGACCATGTATCGGAGGGGTAGCCGTGTTAGTCTGGATCTGCAGAAGCGACAAGGAGTCCTGTGGCACCTTATAGAGTAACAGATGTATTGGAGCATGAGCTTTCGTGGGCAAAGACCCACTTCATCAGATGCACGAAGGGCCCATGTTATCTGCAAAACACTGGCCAGATAATCTCACCAACTGAATTCTGTATCAAGCCTGCACAGGGCTGAGGTAGAGCATATCTCCTAGAAATACAGACAGTCTTGGTTTAAAGAGTCAAGTGATGGACACTCCACTACCTCCTTCTCCAAGTTTTTCCATGAGCACCGTATTTCCAGTCTGATTTCGCCTAGCTTCAACTTCCCTCCCTTGAACCACACTCCTTTGGCTGTGTCTACACCGGGAAGGTTTGGCGATGAACGTGCCGTCGATATGCAAAAGTGTAAACCGGTCAGACTGTTTTATCTGCCTCTCCTTGTCAACATTTCACAGCCACATTACTAGCTCCCCTGTCGAAAGAGCAAAGCACTGTAGGTGAACATCCCACAAGGCAGTGTTGTGGGAAGGCGGCGCTGATCCCTGCGCTTCTACGAGGGATTCCCTTGAAGCTGTGGGAGCTCTCCATGGGGAGGAATGACAAAGCAGTGCAGCTGTCTCTCCAACTCTCCCTTTGCAGCAGGGGTCCCTAGCGGGGCAGAACAGGAGCATTCCAATGGATTGTTGTTTGTTCCCCAAACGTAGCAGCTCACTCAACTTTCAGATACTTTTGGGGGCTTTGAAAGGTGAGGGGCACAGGCCTGCAGGGCAGCAGAGATCACAAAACACTGAGCACAGCCACCAGCGCAGGCATTGTGTGATACTGGCGGAAACAGTTTTTGAAAAAAGGCAGCTTTTGGTGACAAAGCGTGCCAGTGTAAACAAGGCCTTTGTTTGCTACCTAGCAGATTTTCCCCCTCGTGTAGGCACTTACAAACCTGGATCAAATCTCCTCAGTCTAATCTTTCATAAACAACATAGACTCAGTCGATTTAGTCTCTCACTGTAAGGCAGGATTTCCAGAACTTGAGTCATTCTAGCAGGTTTTTTTCCTAAACTCTTTTCAATTTGTCAACATCATTATTTAAAGTATAGACATCAGTAACTGACACAATATTCCATAGTGGTCTGATTAATGCTGAAAAGGTCATAACACACCCCTATTGCAGCTTGCTACTCCTCTGCATAGCCGTCACAGGATTTGCATTTGGTCTCTTCCTCACTGCATCATCTTAGTAGCTCATGTGTGGCTGATTATATACCACGATCCCTAAATTCTCTTCTGAGTCATTGGCTTCCAAAATACATTCTTCCATCCTGGGCATGTGACCAATAGCTTCCATTCCTCCATGCGTAACCTATCATTTAGCTGTATTAAAACACTGTTCCAGTTAGTATAGCTGTTGCGTGTGATATAGCTGTTGCGTGTGAAGATGCGTGTGAAATCTACGAGGCCAGGTCTATCCTAGATCCAGTAGCTCGACTTAAGGTATGCAATTCCATCTATGTAGAATATGGCAAGAGCAGGAGTACTAGACACTAGTGGGGGGACCCTTTGAATTTGATTTAGTGAGTCTTAACTAGACTTGCTAAATCAAACTCCGGAAGATTGATCCCGGCAGTGGCGATCTTCCACAACGTGAAGACGTGGCCTGAGTGTAAGAAGCAAGCAGCAAATATAACTAATGAGCTTGTAACCTCTTTGGGACAGGGATTGTCTTTTTGGCCTCTGTTTGTACAGCGCCTAGCGCAATGGGCTCCTTTGTTCACGTCTGGCTCTCTGCGGTGTTAACAAAACAAAAACACTATATAGCCAAGAATAAAAAGATATAAGGTATAGTTAGGACATAGAGATGGCAGAGGTCCTACAGACCTCAGGCTTGTAAGGTATTTAGCATAGTCAAATTAGATCTTCAGATAAATTAGAATCATAGAAGATTAGGATTGGAAGAGACCTCAGGAAGTCATCTAGGGCAACCCAAAGCTCAGAGCAGGACCAACCCCAACTCAATCATTCCAGCAAGGGCTTTATCAAGCCAGGCCTTGACAAGAATATAATAGTTAGCTAGTTTATAAAGAGAAATGAGCATAAATAAAAAACAGGAATGTGTAGCACTTTAAAGACTAACAGCTGCACCAGACTAACACGGCTACATTTCTACCACTATTCTACAAGCATAAATAAGATATTTTGGCCTTGGAAAGGGTTCAGAAAAGAGCAACTAAAATGATTAGGGATTTGGAACAGGTCCCACATGAGGAGAGGTTAAAGCAACTGGGAATTTTCAGTTTAGAAAAGAGGAGACTGAGGGGGGATATGATAGAGGTCTATAAAATCATGAGTGGTGTGGAGAGGGTGGATAAAGAAAAGTTATTTATTAGTTCCCTAAATAGAAGAACTAGAGGACACCAAATGAAATTAATGGGTAGCAGATTTAATACTAATAAAAGAAAGTTCTTCTTCACACAGAGTGTAGTCAACCTGTGGAACTCCTTGCCAGAGGAGGCTGTGAAGGCTAGGACTATAATAGAGTTTAAAGAAAACCTAGATAATTTCATGGAGTTTAGGACCATAAAAGGCTATTAGCCAGGGGATAAAATGGTGTCCTTGGCCTCTGTCTGTCAGAGGCTGGAGAGGGATGGCAGGAGACAAATCGCTTGATCACTGTCTTCGGTCCACCCTCTCTGGGGCACCTGGTGTTGGTCACTGTCGGCAGACAGGATACTGGGCTAGATGGACCTTTGGTCTGACCCAGTACGGCCATTCTTATGTTCTTATGTAAATAAGTTAATAATAAGCTGCTGAGCTTGCGCCTACGTTAATGACCTGCTGCTGTTTTGAAAATAACTCCTGAGCGTGCATAGCCATGTCTACGAGAGACCAGCAGACCCCACAAGCAGACCATTGGTAGCTGGGGTGAAATGTTGGAGACGTACGGGTTATTTAAGGCCTGTCATCGTGCTGATAAGGTGATACTGTGAATGAGAACAAGGCAACCTATCACGTTAGATTATGAAGAATGGGACACCCAAAGAGTAGTGGCATGTGGAAGTTCAAATAAGCAAAGGGAGTTAAAAATGATCATACATGAACCCCAGAGGGTGTCCCTTATAAAAGCCGTGTCCCAGGCTCCATGCCTTGGGAGGGATTTATGAGAGACAATGAAGGTGAGGATGAAGATAAGACCAACGCTTCGGGTTTTTTTGCCCGGCATGGTGTAAGTAATGACCATATTAAGCATATTAAGCATTCTGCACTGGGTTCCTCTCTCTTTTACCCAATTTCTGTGAGCTAATAAAAGTGATACAAGAGCACAGTGTGGTCTTAGTTGTGCCCCTTGGATCTGCCGATAACTTCTCTATTACAATCATCCTTGGGGCTGAACTTTCACATGTTAAACGAGATGTGGCCACTCACCTGGGGAGAGAGGGGGTGGAACTGGTTAAAGTAACCCACAGCTGTAGATAAAACAACAGAGTTTTTTTAAAAACCTGATCTCTCCAAGTGGGTGGTGTCATGATTCTGAGGGTTAGCCAGCAGCCTGGGGATTAAGGGGTTAACTACACCTAGCCAGGTGGAGTGACCAGTAGGAATGTAGGTGGGACTTTCAAACTGGGACAAAGGAATTTGGGGTTTTTCCTTTCTCCCTTTTGTCTCTCTGGGTGTGCTCTCTGCAGCTACAGAGAGGGACAAGCATGTCTCTCTCTCTCCACAACAGCATTCTTCACTTTCTGTAAGTAGGGTAAAGTTTAGGTAGTTTCGTTAGGCTTTATTGTTGTAAGGGTTGGGTATGGGATCTGAGATCTGGCACTGCTTAAGAGATGTTTGGCTTTTCTTTTTAACTAAGTTCTAGCCCAGAGTGTAATTCCTCCATGAGTATATTTGGTTACCTTTCCATCTGATCCTTATGCTTGCAACAGGAATATTGTTGTAATAAAAGTTTTCTCTTTTCTTTTTATTAACCTGGCTTTGGTTACTTGTGTGTCCTGATTTTTATAATAGGGGTGAGATTTCCCAAATGATCTTTTCCTCTGATTTCTTTACCAATATTTGGGTGGTGGCAGCGGAAGTTTTATTCCCAAGATCTAGGTTTTTAAGATTTTGGGGGAAGTTTTATACCAAAGCCTGGTAGATAAGGCTTTGGGGTACACTTGCTGGCCCCCACTTCTGCATTTATCATGCCAGAGTGGGGAAGGAGCTATGACAGGTGGATCCTGCTAGCGCTGTCCATGCAAAGCCAAGACTGACGATAAATTGAACCTGATGGTGTTTGGAATTGACAGATATCTTTGGCCATGAAAGCAAGTGCAGTTGCAATGAAAGAGACCCTGAAAGTCAGTTATATTCAAACAGTATAAAAAAAATCAGACCTTTAGACCCGCTGGTCTTTTCTTCGCTGCCTCCTTGTGCCTATTAAAATTGCTGCGTTATTGCACATATGAGGGCTGCGAACATGGACATCGCAGATGGCTCATAAGTGGCTGAAATGCCTTTTCTTGTTGAGGATGGAGAATGATGCTCATGGACGGACAGCCTACAAGGCAGTGCCAAAATCTTCGCTCACTTGGCCTGGTGCAAAACACGTGGAACGGTAATGGTGCAAGTGAAGGGAGAATCTGGCTCCCACAGAAGAAAGTGCACAAGGATTATAATCCACCTACCTGCATGTGTGTTTCTCATAAAGGCCGTTAGAAGCCAAAGGGTAAGGAGAAGCATTCTGATCCCATTCTAACTCGATGCTCCTTGTTCATATTCAAGGAGGTGAGGCCGTGGCAGATACCTAGGGGAAACCTCCCCGCACGATATTCTAGCCAAAGGCAACAATTCCTTCTGCCTTGACGTGACTACAATATTCCTCATCATCTGCATGTGACATCACACAATCTAATCACAGGGAGTGACATCACAATGGGAGGCTATACCTGTGTGGAGGGAAAAAAGGATTTTTTTCAGCAGGCCCAGGGGACAGACCCCTAGACCTGAAATGTAGGGTTGGCAACCACACTGGAAATTTCCCAAAGTCTCATAGTTGGTTCAGCCCCTGACAGAGATGGAACAGTTTGGAAATTCACTGCTGGATCCTGATCTTGGTTCTAGCTAGGCCTGAGAGTGGTTTGCCTCCTGTGCTCTGATTCAGGTCCATTTCGAATCATGGGCGTGATGGCTTTTCCTCCTTCCTGGATCATGTTGTCGCTCTGGGAAAATTCCCAGCGTTGTCTTCCCTGCAACGATTCTTCCTTTGCCCATGACAGGAGTGGATTCATTCTTTCAAACCTTGGAAGGTGTTTCTCTTCCCTTTCAACACCTTCCATGTAATCTCAGTGGGAAGTGGAAACTCATTGCAAGGATAAGTGCTCAACGATTGAGAAGTGTGGCCGTAAAGATATCCACAGCGGACCATCTTCCCCTTGATGAACTGGAGGCTAAATGTAGATTATACAGCCAAAGCATCTCCTAATGTCCCACCATTGGGCCAAGTTCCACTAGTGAAGAATTTTGCCCCGGTTTCCATCTCGCACCTTTAGAAGTTGCATGGCCAAAATTCAGCCTGGCGTTACTTCACAGTGAATTCATGGTGCTCAATATTTTTGGGCCCTCATCTTGGGTATCTTCAGTGGAACTACTGCAGGCAGATGTACATCATCTGGAGAATCTGAGCCCTTATACCTACTGGAACAACTTCTAAGGGCCACAGCTCAGATCACAGCAGAGCCCTGCTATGCTCCGTGTTGGACAATCACATATGGAGACATAGTCCCAGCCTTAAAGAAATTACAATCTAATTTGAAGCCATGTGAAAAGGCTGAAAACAAACAGTAGGAAAAAGGTGAAGAGGGAGGATGGGATACCAGTGCTAAGAGTGTGGATAACATGGGCTAAGAGTGAACAAGGCTCCAAATTAGGTGCAGGTTGAACCTCTCTTGTTCAGAACTCTCTGGTCTGGAAACATCCAGGGTCTGGCATGATTTGAGTTAGCCGGATGTCCACTTTTCATGGGTATGGCCAAGTTTCCTGAAGTCCCATAAAGTCTGTTTATGGCCACCAATCTTGGCTCTCTGTTCTCTGCTGTTATTTAGCTCAGGAAGCAGTGAAATGAAATAATCTCTCCCAATAAAGAAATTTGCATCCCAACCTAAGAGCTCGAGAATCGGAATCTGGTTCTCCTCTTCTGCACAGGTGCACACCAGGTGTAATTCCACTGAATTTATGGAGTTACACTGAGGTAAAAACCAAACAATCAGAAAGTGGAATCAGAACTTTCATTTTCCTCTCCCCATTTGCTTCCATTTCACCTCATGCCCCCCAAATCAGAGAAAAGTGCCAGTTTCCTTGACAGCGAACAACAGAACAATTCAATGGTGTGATATTTAACCACATGCATTCTGTTACTATGGTAACTGGAAATTCCGAGCGAGATGCTCGAGCATGTGGGATCCTCTTCAGGAAGAGTTGCACATTATGATCATACCAGGAGCAGCCTCTTCTCTGCTCCCCTCCCCCACACAAATGCAATGAGAAACAAAAGAAGTTGCCTCTTGCTTTTGAAACTGGACTGAGATGAGCACAGAACCGGGCACTAGGAGTTCCAGAGAGCTAATTCCAGCCTTTTCGTACCTTGGGCAAATGACTTATCTGTGTCGTAAATCCCTATCTGCAAAACGGACATAGTGACGCTTTCTATCTCTCTCGCTGGGTCTGTTCTATTCTTGCAAACTCATCAGGGCTGAAACTCCCCTGTTACATATTTGTACAGTATCTCACACAATTGGGGTACGCCTACACCACAAGACAAAGTCAAATTAAGCTACGCAACTTTAGCTACCTTAATTGCGTAGCTGAAGTTGAAGTTGATTAACTCGGCTTTAGGTGCTGTCTACACAGCAGGAAGTCGAAGGACGAACACCCTTCCTCCGACTTCCCTCACTCCTCGTGAAATGAGGGTTACAGAAGTCGGAATAAGGAGCCTGTCATTTCAAAATAATTTCAAAATAACGGGCTCGCTGTGTAGACACACACTCTGTTAATAAGCGTGCAGTATAGACATAGCCTAGGGTTGCTGTCTCAGGTGAGGCACTGAGGTATCAAAATTATTGATAACTAATTATTTTACAATTCATTCGCTTTTAAAGCCAACCTACAATCTACTGCACCATACAATCATACACAACAACACAGATGGAACACCAGATTTTTTTCATTAGCAAGCTGTAATCCTTTATTATATTTGCTTCATTTTTCAGATCTAACCCATCATCTATTTTAGTTCAGAAAATGCCTGTGATGTGCTTTATCATAGTGCTGGAAGCCAAACTAAATCATCTTATATTTATATACTTTTTGGCCCAGTAGAAATAAATCTCCCAGGTTATAAAATAATGTTTTTGCTAAAATTGTTTCAGGAAATAGGCACTGCAGGTAATCATATATATTGCTGTGAATGGGGAACTCAGAGATTAAGATCCCCATCCCGAGCAAAGACATCAAAGTACGACTAGTATCATTAACATAACTCCTAGAATACTTTCTAGAGATCAAAGCCCCATTCATGCTTAATGAGCAAATACATCAAAGTACGACTAGTATCGTTAACATAACTCCTAGAATACTTTTAGAGATCAAAGCCCCATTCATGCTTAAATCTAGCAAGTTCATCAGATCAGACAATAAGCGTAAAGTGCAGCTTGTAGTTCCATCACACACACCTTATTTATTCCTCTTAAAATGCACTGGGACAAACATTCAAAAATCTCTCCTAAAATTAACCAGCCCAAGATTGCGCGAATGCCTATTTAAGTGCACAGATTGGCCAAAGTGCATTTCTAGCTGTGCTACTAGGCACAATTTCAGAAACCACTCTGTGAAATCAAAAAATGTCACAGGCTGAATGCACAAAATGCTGTACCTTGACTGGTGCACACATTTCTGAGCAATGATGCTGCAGATATTATTCTCCTGCTGGAACGCTGCGACACTGCACAATGCAGAATTTGCATAGAATGAATGTTCGCCGCAGAATTTTATTTTTGCCATGCAGAAACTGGGATTTCAACCCAAATGCTTCCTTTTTTCCAGGTTTGCCTCTTTCAGAGATATGAGTTATGTGCACACATAACATCTTTTATGTGTATTGTAAGGTTTTTGGGTCACACTGCTGTAGCAGGAGGAGGTCAGTGAGCTAGTGGAGTTGCACAGTAGTGTGCAGTGGGCAGTTAGCATGTGGAAGGAAGACCAGGGTAGAGTATGTGCACACACAAGAACACTCCACCTGAAACTCCATTCCTAGAGCATCTGATCCTAGTGGTGCTGCCCTTCATTTTATATTCTCTCCCAGCCTGAACCTGCCACCCTCCCCCACTCCAACCTGCCACTGCATCCCCCCAGCAACCCCACTTGTGCCTGGCATGGGGGTGGGCATATCACCTCTGGAGATGAAGAGATATTGGCTGGCAAACTATGTACACAACCCAACCCACATATTCACAGACATTTGCCCTCACATACGCCCTACCCTCCCTTCCACCCACTATACTACAACTAGACTCCTCTAGCACACTAATCCCCTCCTACAACAGTGGCATGACCCAAAAAAACCTTAAAATACACACAGAAACTTGAACTTGGACAAGACATGACAGACACACATGAGGATGTTACAGTCCTCTTAGGCCAGATCGTTACAATTCTTTTGTAGAGCATACTTTTGTATAATGACTTTTGTTTCAATTAAATATTTAATTTACCAGAAACTGACGCTAGCTGTCAACAAAGATACATCAAATTCTCTTTTAATATGCCTAGTAAGGAATCTATTTGTCAAAAAACATTTCCTGAGCCTTTTTGTTATCTGTGTCATTAACAGACATACTTGCTGACAGGTATTTTGAAATCAGTTACCACAATAATTGGAACTGGCACAATTAGATTGTGTTCTTTTGATAACTAAAATATGTAGAACTTTACAGATTTTTTACTTTTTTTGGGTGCTTTACTCTAAGGCTGTGTCGACATTGGCAAGATTTTGTGCAAAACCAGCCACTTTTGAGCAAAAACTTGCCGCCTGTCTACACTGGCCGCGCGTTCTTGCGCAAGAACACTGATGTTCTTGCGCAAGAGGCCAGTGTAGACAGGCAACATGAATTTCTTGCACAATAAAGCCCGATGGTTAAAATGGCCATTGGAGCTTTCTTGCGCAAGAGAGCGTCTACAGTGGCACGGATGCTTTTGCGCAAAAGCACATCTCTTCGCAAAAGCACATGCCAGTGTAGATGCTCTCTTGTGCAAATACTTTAACGCAAAAACTCTCGCGTTAAAAGTATTTGCGCAAAATCTTGCCAATGTAGACGTAGCCTACGTTTCTAGCAAAAACATCACACAAGGTTGGTGCAGTGGCATGAGCAAAGATTATTTTTGAATCCTAATAGGACAGGAAACCCCAGTGCCCCCAAGTCCACAATAACCATTGGGGTTCTTGTTTAGATACTGTTGATGGTAATCTTCAGCGTAATAGAACTCAGGAGCCTCGCGGATTTCTGTTGTGATGGTGCCAAAGCCCTTCTCCGTCAGTACCTGTTAAGACACGATACAGAATTCCATTAGTGGTTTGTTTGCTTCTGGGTGCTGAGAAACAGACCTGATAATAAAATGACATATTCAAGAGGTGCCATTGATTTCCACTGACACTTGTACAATAGTTACAGAACAGCCTTGATTTTATCTGGTAGACTAGAAAGCCAGCCTGCTTTACCGGTGCTTTTAGATTATTCAGGCGGCAAACACTTCAAGGTATCAGAGTGAGTCTGCACCGAGCAGTGAGTGTGTTTTATCTTTCTTCTGACTGGTTACATTTCAAACGGGATGTTCTTGTTGAATGGGATCTTTCTTTGGGGAGGGGGTGCGCTTGTGACATCGAGAAGACCCAAAAGTAGATTCTTACGGTACGTCTACACTGCAATTATACATGCACAGCTGGCCCATGGCAGCTGACTTATGGGGCTTAGACTATGGGTCTGTTTAATTGTGGGGCAGATGTTCAGGTCTGGGCTGGACCCTCCCCTCGAATGTCTACACCGATTAACATGCCACATATGAATGTGCTTGAAAATCCCACCTTCATGGTGCAGATTGCTGCTCCAATTAGAGGGAAAAGTGAGCTCTAACGAGGGCTATCAACGATGAATTCTTGAAGGGGGAGCTACAGTCCTGGGGTGAAACCCTACCTAGATGTCCGCTTGGGCCAAATTTCAACGTTCAGCTGAGCCCCACTAGAGCACAGCCAATCTGAACCTGACCCAAGCCCTCGCATGTTGGGTGGTTTTCAGACTTGAGCCAAAACAGACACGCAGTCAGATCTCTGGGTTGGGTTGCAAAGACCTAGGCACCATTTTCTTTACTTAGTTTCCTCCACAGAGCTGCTGAGGCGAATTACCACCCAGGCCTATTTCTCCTAGGCTTTGTCTACACTGTCGGCTTTTGCTGGCAGACAGTATGCAAATGAAGTGCTGATTAGCATTTTGTCATGCTTCATTTGCATAATCTATTTGAGCCGATTTTGCGCAAGGGTTTTTGCATAAAAACAAGCAGTATCCCTCAGTCATAAGGATCTTGTGCAAAAAGGGGGCTTTGTGCAAAAAGGAAACGTTCACACTGCTTGTTTTTTGCGTAAAAACGGCTCAAATAGATTATGCAAATGAAGCATGACAAATTGCTAATCAGTGCTTCATTTGCATACTCACTGCCGGCAAAAGCCAGCAGTGTAGACATAGTCTTAGTAGGGTCCTTTAGCCAACCTGGGCTGGATGGCCAGTCCCTGGTCCAACCCAGCACCATGGACGGCTCCTCCAAACGTGTCACCATCATCAACAGAGCCCCAATCCTTTGGCTCAGCCTGGTGGAGACTTCCTGCCCGAGAGAGCCAGTTGCTTTTCACGTCTGACCCAAACCGCCAGTGAGGTCCGCTGCATGGCCAGCCTCTCATCCTAGCCCCGAAATCAAGAGGAATTTTGCTACTAAGTTTAGTGCGACCTGGATTTCACCGCTGAGGCCTTAACATTCCATTGATCCTGTTGAAAAGGAGCATCTCGAGAACGTCCAGTCAATCCAATATATCCACCCCGCAGGGTCTCTGCAGGGGAGGAGGGATTTTAGGATTGCAGTACGATAGGATCTCACTGATTTTCAACACACGGAGACAAATGTGTTGATTTCAATGCATTTTACCAAAAGGTAATCAAGTTAAGGAAGTTACATTTAGATTAATCCACTAATTGAAAAGTTGATGCAATTTGCATTGACTATTTGATTAGTCGATAAGGGCACCTCTGCCTACTGGCTCTTGCAACATTTCAAAGGCAGAATCGCCACAGGGAGCATGGAGACAATCGGGGACTGTTTGAGTCCCCCACTGGCCCCATGTTTCCCGCACATGCTTTGCTTTTGAAATGTACAAGAGCCCCTTCCGGGTCCCTTGCTTGAGTCCCCTGCTCCCATGGTGCTTCTGCTTTTGAAATGCAGCAAGAGCTCCGTTTTCCACTGCGCCCCTCCACCCCCCGACAGAGACAGTGCTGGAAGGAACTGGCTTTTAAGTCGGATCTCCCCAGCTCCGGCTCCCGCTCCCCCCCACCCTGCCTCCCTCAGAAAAGGGCAGAAGGGGGGGGGGGGAAGCGACTAGTCGAGTCGATTATCCAATCAGCATATACTTATTGGATAGTCGACTATTCGCTTACATCCCTAAATCATCTATCATTCTCCCCATTTCACAGCAGGGGAAACTGAGGTACAGAAATAGTCTGGCACTGTTTTATAAAGAACGGTCACTAATTTGGAGTGTCTTCAGTTGCAGGTGCCAAACGTGGCAGCTAGAGTTCACTAGCAGTCAGTAAGAGCAAGGAGCATTCAGTATCTCAGTGAACAAATTGCGTTTTTCAGGACTCAGCCTGTAAGGAGCCGGAGCCAAAGAAGTCACTGTGTTCACAATTGACATAAAAATCTGAAGGTGGCAGACAATACATCTGGGCTATGTCTACACTGGCAGCTTCTTGTGCAAGAACAGCTGTTGCCTGCTGACTACACTGCACGCGTGTTCTTGTGCAAATAAATTTACCTGCTGACTACACTGCACGTGTGTTCTTGTGCAAATAAATTTACAGTCTAGCATTGTAAAACAGGGCTTCTTCTGGAAGAGTTATTCCTCTCCCCATGAGGAATAAGCCCTCTCGCGCAAGAGCTCTTCCACAAGAGGGCAGAGTAGAGAGGCAACATGAATTTCTTGCGCAAGAAGCTCCTATGGCTAAAATGGCCATCAGAGCTTTCTTGTGCAAGTGAGCGTCTACACTGCCATGGATGCTCTTGCACAAAAGCACATCTCTTGTGCAAAAGCACATGCCAGTCTAGATGTGCTCTTGTGGAAGACTTTTTGCTCAAGAACTCTTCCGCAAAACAGTTCGTGTGCAAGAAGCTGCTAGTGTCGACGTAGCCCTGGAAGCCTCTAAAGGCAGAAATATGTAAAGCTGTGGCACTGTTCTGGAGAATGCCGTTAACTCACAGGTGTTATTTACTGGTGAATAAAATGGCCCTCAAAACAATTACAGGCAGTCCCCGGGTTACGTACAAGATAGGGACTGTAGGTTTGTTCTTAAGTTGAATTTGTATGTAAGTCGGAACTGGTACATATTGTAGGGGAAACTCTAGCCAAACATTTCTCCAGAGCTCAGTTTTATTCTCCCACACCTCACTTCCCTCAGTCCTTTATTCTCAAGCTGAGGTGTCTGCTGAGAAAAGCCGCTCCACGTCTCCCTGGTCGGCTGGGAGGGGTGCTAGCTTTGCGTCTCCCTGGTCTGCTGGGGGGAAGCAGCTAGTGCGGGCCCGTTTGTAAGTAGGGATCCGATGTAAGTCGGATCCATGTAACCCGGGGACTGCCTGTAGTTTGATTAATGTGGAAAATACAGAGGGACCCCAGAGATTCGAAGACCAAGCACTGAAACAAGTTAAGAGCTACATCTGGGTTCCATTCACAGATGCTCTGGAGTGTCTTCCCTCAAGGCTCACAACTCCATTAGGCTCAGAAAGGCATTTCAGGGCAAAGTCCAGCTCCTGTCGGAAGTGTGCACAGCTGGAAGAGAAGACCATGGCGCACAGACCGGGGCGGTGGGTGGGTGGGTGGATGGATATTTGAAATTAGACTTGGAATTGTTCAGCTCCTAGATAAATCTGAACTTCCTCAAGGACTCCTAAAAGCTTAAAGTTTTTCTTTTTACTATTAAACTGCCATGAAGTTTTTTCTATCCCATTTTTCTCTTCTAAGCAAATAGGCAAGAGCTGATGCTTTGGACACAATTCTCCTCTGATTTATGACTTAACCGTATGCTCACGGAAGTCAATAGCAAAGCTCACGGTGACCATAATGGTGCAGGATGAGGACTTCAATCTGAGGTAGTACAGGAGTAACTATATGGAGGAAAATGAAGTTACACCAATATAAGACAGGTGTAAGAATGGCCTGACATTCCTCCAGAATCAAGCCCTGGAAGAACATATGGCCAAATACTTATCTCACCAGACAAGCTCATGAAACCTGCTCATAAAACCTGTTGTCACCAGACAGCATCAAGGCAAACTGCTCAGCAAAAAGGACTGGCTTGTTTCCAAGATAAGAATGGCCATACTGGGTCAGATCCATGGTTCAGCTAGCTCAAAATCCTGTCTAATATATTCCGTTACCCATTCCCAGCTTCTGATAAATGGAGCCTAGGAACATTTCAGGTTTTGTACCCCTGCCCATCCTGGCTAATGGCCATTGATGGACCTATCCTTCATGAACTCATCTAGTTCTTTTTTGAACCCTGTTATAGCCCTGGCCTTCCCAACATCCCCTGGCAAGGAGTTCCACAGGTTGACTGTGCACTGTGTGAAGAAAACCTTCCTTTTGATCTGGCCCCAGGCTTGCCTGGATCCAGCCCCCAACGCTTGGGGCTTCAGCTCCATGCCCCTCCCTCTGCCCGCTGAATCCGACCCACAGGCTCTGCCTGGCTCCGCACACTGCTGCTCCCCTTGATTAGTGCAGTAAAGCGCTGCCTAGGGGCTTTTCCCCCATACAATCTACTAACTCAGGCCCTCTAGGCTCTGACGTGCGAGGGGAATGTGGGGGAGTGTCTTTCTGCTTCTCAGCCGGGGCCATGTCAGTGAGGTGTGTTTTTATTATTATTTATTTATTTTTGCTTCTCACTTTTGCAGCCCTGACTGATTTTTCTGTGGTTCAGTGGCCCCCGACCCAAACAAGTTCCCCCCCCCCGGGATGCCACGAGAAATCAGTGCTACTAAAACACAGGAATCCCAATTCCCCATCCTAAAATTCTAAACTCGGGGGAATGAGGAGGATCCGAGGGGATAATTGCAGCTAACCTGCTGGCTCAGCATGAGACACTGCACCGGTCCCTTCCTTGCTTTCTGCTCCAGTCAACGTCTGTTGGAACACAGGAGGGCTAAAAGGCAGGTTCTCACAGGGAACCGGCTGCTACATCTGAACTGTGCTTCTCTGGGTGATAACATTTCAAACACTAAAAAGGCGCACT